TTATCTCAATGTTCGCAGGCTGAATCGCCAGATGTTACGGTGGGTGCAGAAATCTGAGCAGCTCACTTTGCTGCGCTGGAGGGCCGCTTACTCTAAGGCTGCATAAAAAAACTGCTCAGTGGCCAAGATTACTGTGGTTAATAGTGCTTCACTTCTGTGTACTACTGGGGGCAAAGTCAGACGGTCATTCACTGGCAGAAAGAGTAATCAGTTCCATCGCTCCTGCCTGCATCAGAAGTGTGGCCAGCAAGTCGAGGGAAGGGATTCTGCCCCTCTACTCCACTCTCATGAGACCCCACCTGAAGTACTGCGTCCAGCTCTGGAGCCCCCAACATAGGACAGACATGGACGTGTTGGAGCGGGTCCAGAGGAGGGCCACAAAGATGATCCGAGGGCTGGAGCACCTCTCCTATGACCACAGGCTGAGGGAGTTGAGGTTGTTCAGAAAAGAAGGCTCCGGGGAGACCTTATTGCGGCCTTCCAGTACCTAAAGGGACTACAGGAGAGCTGGGGAGGGACTTTTTACAAGAGCATGTAGTGACAGGACAAGGGGGAATGGCTTCAAACTGGAAGAGGGGAGATTTAGATTAGATATTAGAAAGAAATTTTTCATTTCAAGGGTGGTGAGACACTGGAACAGGTTGCCCAGAGAAGCTGTGGAAGCTCCATCCCTGGAGGTGTTCAAGGCCAGGTTGGATGAGGCTTTGAGCAACCTGGGCTGGTGTGAAGTATCCCTGCCCATGGCAGGGGGGTTGCAACGAGATGGTCCTTAAGGTCCCTTCCAACCTAAACCATTCTATGAGTCTACAGTTTCTTTTGTTTGAAGTGCCAACGGTACTAAAAATTAGGCGAGTAGGGGGCTCTGTTCAGACACCTTAGTAGACACCAACTTCTCTGTGATGTCCAGGCATCAGCACTGCACAAGGATTTTCCCTGGGATTGTGGCATGACTTGCTTGTGGACAGCCTTTTGTGCTGTGGAGGCCACTTCAGGGTGAGACTTTACGCTTGGCGTAGGCTGCTGCAGAAAGGCCCAGGCTGGCTGGCTATATCTGGCCCACCTCCTGCCCTATCCCAGAGCTACTGCTAATGTTTTCATAACCCTTAGTACCGCAACAAAAGATTTAGGAACATTTGACCCATTTGCAATTGTAAAATCTCATCACCAGGTACTGGGCAACAGCTTCAAGTTACCTTGACATATTGTGTGCGTAATGCCACAGGAGAGAATGCCAATTAGCATTCAAGAATAGCAGTATAGTTTTGCTCTTTAATTTCCAGCATAAATAAGCATAAAAGCAACCAAAGAAATCATCCGTATAGTATAACTGCCTATAAAATAAATCATTCACAGAGAAGAAAGTCAGCCTCTGCATGGGAGAAGACTAACTAACCCCTATGGAGAGTAAGTATTCTGCTTTCTCATTCAAACCAATGATGTCCTGCACATTGAAAAAGCTCTGACTGATGCATATTCCAAACCGATAGCAGAGACAGCTAAGGAATAAAGGATGTGAAGCTCCATGAGCTTAGCTTCAGATATTCGTTCCCTTTCTGCGCCCTTTCTGACCTGTTCTTCATGTTGTGGCTCAGCTGTGCTGATACAGGTTCTTGTGGCACCAAACCGTAAACCAAAATGAAATACTAAGTTTAAAAGCCTTCAGAAAGGGACGAGGGGAGGGAGGGAAGAATTTAACTTTTGGGTCCCTCACTACACGAAAGACATTGAGGTGCTGGAAGGGCAACAGAGCTGGTGAGGGGTCTGGAGCACACGTCTGATGAGGAGCGGCTGAGGGAACTGGGGGCGTTCAGCCTGGAGAAGAGGAGGCCAAGGGGAGACCTTCTGGCTCTCTACAGCTCCCTGACAGGAGGGGGTAGCGAGGGGGGTCAGTCTCTTCTCCCAAGGAACAGGCAATAGGACAAGAGGAAACGGCCTCAAGTTGGACCAGGGGACTTTTAGGATGGATATTAGGAAAAATTTCTTCACTGAAAGGGTTGTCAAACATTGGAACAGGCTGCCCAGGGAAGTGGTTGAGTCACCATCCCTGGAGGCATTTAAAAGATGTGTAGATGTGGCACTTGAGGACATGGTTTAGTGGTGGTTTTGGCAGTGTTAGGTTGATGGTTGGACTTGACCATCTGAAGGGTCTTTTCCAACTTAAATGATTCTATTCTAACTCAGCCAGCTTCATTGATACCGTACAAGCAAAGCAGCTTGTTCTGCTGCCTTCCCTCCTGCCTGACCTCCAGCACCATTCAACCCTTACAGCAGCTCCAATACTTCTAAAATCCTTATTGAGTATAGTAGTTGGTTTATGTCTCTCCTTTTTTGCTGAATTAGCATGTTCAGTTAGCCAACTTAAATTGGTATCGAAGAGTTCAACAACCTGCATTGGTAAGGTTTGGGAGGGGAATTGGCATTGATGAGCAGTTCTGTCAGTGCATTCCATGTGAAATTAGACCTGAAATTTCTAGTGTGACTCAAAACAACTGGACCAGCGTAACAGAAAAGCGTGAGTCACAGCACAGGGAGAGAAGATGATTTCTATGGAAAGCGGTGGGACTGGGGGCAGGAGCAACCCCAGTGGCTCTGCTGCTGGAGTCAATGGTCCAAGTGGTGCAACTACACCAAGAATCCTTTCATCCAAATGGCCCCAGGGCTTCCCCTGGTGGGAACGGTATCTA